ATTACTGGGTTTCCAGAGTAACGTGGCAACCTGAGGACCAAACTTATCACCTCTTAGGTAAAGACCACCACTGGAATGTGATTCTGTCTACACCAAGSTTATAATAGTTTGGGATTTTTCATTATAGTTCAGTTTTGGTTCATTGTGACTTTTTTTTCTTTTAATTCAGTTAGTTTTAATTAGTTTTTACAGTGGATTTTCTTTGTTGCTTAGTTTTACTTTAGTTTTTATTAGTTCTAGTATTAGTTTATTTTATAGTTTGAATAAACATATTTGCCAGTGCATCCTCAAGCTTGTGATGTTCTTGTGAGTTAACCAACCAACAGCTATTTGGTCACTAGTTAAAGCAATCTATAGCGACACCTTCCTAAAATAATTGCGTAACTCAATTTTGCCAACTAAAAACTTGGGCGATTATTTTAGGACGATGGTAATGTTTGTCTCCAACCCGGTGCTACCTGTTGCTCGTTTTACACGGGAGCTACTGAGAGAAGCTAGAGTGTCAAGATAATTGTTAGCCATCTTGAGCGAGATTGATTCATGCAGTTTTTCCCTTGAGAAGTATTCCACCGGTTTTATCACCTGTTACCACTACAAGACACTTGTTTTATTTTTCTCCCAGTCATATTCAAAGAAATCTTAAAGTGGACATTGCTGCTTTCTCCCAACTTTTGTTGTCGTCATTTGGCAGGCGATGCTGAGCAGCAGCAGACTGTGAACAAGTGTTGTTACGGCCCACAGCTAATGTGAAACTACTCGACTTGAAAATAAAAAAGGATCCACATGGCTCCAAATAAACTGGCAAACACTAAAACTAAGGATATTCTATCTAGAAGTTCAGTAAGTTTTAGTTAGTTTTGTAAAGAGATTATACAGTTTCAGTTAGTTATCGTTTTTTCTTTTCATTACAGTTTTTCTTATTTTTTAATTTTTAATTTTTTTTATTTTAGTTAACTAAAATGTTTTTTCGATTTTGATTTTTGTTATTTAGTCAGTTTTAGTTAACCCTGGTCTACACGACACGTGGTGACAAAAATATCCATTTTTATATCATATATCAGCTAAATCTCAGGGAGAAGAAAACAAGTTGTCATTGGACACATGTTTACACAGTTTAGACCAAAYTCGTCTTCATTGAGGGCCACATAAAATGCAGTGGTGAACCATATTTGGCCCATGAACCTTGAGTTTGATGGATGTAGCTTAGAATAAAATCAAAATTATTGGATTATTTTATTGTTTAAAAACTGAATTTGAATTTCAATAAAACAGAATCAGGGATTATCTGTTACTGGATGCAACTTCTGYTGTGTTGACCCTGACATCTGTTGCTTTGAAATTAGACTTTTCTTGAATAAAACACCTGGTGGATCTGCTTTATAAAATAATTTTTGACATGCCAGAATGCTTTTTCAATTAAATCCATTTTTTGTTGTTTTTTTTAATGCACTCATATTCATATTATTTTTAATGAATACTCCTTCACTTTTTCTACCATMAGGTGTCATGCCACCAGATGAATATTACTCCAACGTCAATAACTCTGTGTACACAAACGCAGCCACCAAACTCAGGTATCAGTATTTCAAAATTCTTCTGCACAGCTGTTCAGGAAGACCAGCTTCTCAAACCGTTCCTCGTTTGTTAGTTTGCAGTTTGCTGTGGAGTTAGCAGAGCTCCTCCAACATCCTGTGCCCAAAGAATGGCGAGAGGTGGCCGAACGCATCAAGATCCCTTTTGACCAGGAGTCCCGTTACCACCCTGAGTTTGATGGCTACACTAAAGGTTCGTGTTTGGTCCTCTCTGACGCCAAGCCGCTCCGGAAAATCTGGGTTTTCAAACGATATCAGGATATTTTTGTTTGTCACATAGGTCAGCCGGTGAAACAGGCAGACACGGTGATGCTGGGTTATCCTCTGGGCCTGCCGATGTCTGCAGAGGTCAGGAGGAATGATCTAGAGGCGTATGAGTCTGTAACAGACCCCAAAGGTCCCGCCATGACATGGGTAGGCAGGACACAGAGTGGAAAACTGCAATAAGTGGGGGTGGGGGGTGGGGTTGGGGGGTCAAATACTGTGGCCATTTAACCACATGCTGCAATGAGTCAGAAGTCTTAGGACACCATTTTAGTTCAGAAACAAAGGAGCAAATGAAGCATCTGAACACCCCAGCATGTGAGAGGACCTACTATCTTAGACAATGTCCAGAACGTGGCCACCATCTTGAAAGCCTTAGTGGATCAAAGTAAATTTTATTTTCAATGGGGAGGGAGTCATATAGCATACCAAAGAAGAAATGGATCAGATGCTCAATATCTCTTGTGGTCCAGAAGTTATCGACACTTCAGTTCAACACTTTTGTTGTTCGCGTCACAGGCCACGATCCCAGTTGTTGTTGCAACTTTCTGTGTTCATAACTTCTGAACCACAAGAGATAATGCAAATYGATGGGGTGGGGGATGGGGGTTGATTTTTCTGAGAAAATTCTCGTCTTCTTTGATATGCTACATGACCTGCTTCCTACTGGAGAAATCTGACTTTGATCCAACATGGCAGCTTTCCAAACGGGTGCCATGTTCTGAACATAGCCTAACATCATTGCTGGGGTATTCACTTTCCCCTTTTGTTTATGAAGTAAAAGGACRTCCTGAGACTTTTGACTCACCTTGTGCATTATGTTTGTGTCTTAGATAAAACATCTCTAATAAAAGTATGTTCACGACGTAAAAAACCTTGCTGTATTTTTGAAACGAGAATTGCCTTTTTGTTCATGACTGATAAAGAATTCCACCACTTTTGTTGTAAGTTTTCTTTAGTTTTTTTAATTTAATGTTTAGGTGAGAGGAAAATGTGAAAAAAAGTTATGCATCAGTATTTGCAGAGAGAATTTTTGTTTTTCTCCTCTTTTTTTCAGGGAATGTTTGCAGTCGGTTGGCTGGAGTTGGGAGAAGCTGAAAAATCTCAGCGTTTACTTGAAAAGAGCTTCGAGAACATCCAGGGGCCGTTCCAGGTATCGCTGCGTCCCTCTCTCTATCGCACACGTTCATCATGTCATCATTTGCCGAGTGATTACCTGCTCCACACAGGTGTGGAGTGAATCGTCAGACGGCTCTGGAGCTGTGAACTTCCTCACAGGCATGGGAGGATTTCTGCAAGCAGTGCTGTTTGGTTACACTGGTTTCAGGTCATTTAGAAAACATTTCATCTTGTCCAGTGCATAAATAAAAAAAAGGGGGGTTCACATGATGTGCAGCTCATTATTATATTCTCCTGTTTTTAATTTAGAGTTCAGAAGGAATGCCTGGCCTTTTCCCCGCTGCTTCCTGATGACATCAGTGAGCTTTGTGTTCGTGGAGTTAACTACCTGGGCAGACAGATGGACTGGCTGCTCAGGAAAGAAGAAGTCTGCATCATAGTCAGGGAACAGGCCAGATGCGCTCCAAACACTAAACCCCATAAATTAGAAGTTGTCTTGAAGGCATCAGGAGCTCAGATCCCTCTTACACCAGGTATCACACAAGTGTCATATGAAACTGTATTTAAGAAAGTTAAAAAGATTCAAACTTTATCACAAGATCTTTAATAAGATTTAAAAAGGGGAGAAAAAAAATAAAAAATAACCTTAATTGTTGACTCTAATGTCATTTCAGGGCAGCCAGTAACTTTTCCCCGAGAGCCCGGTTGTGTTCGTAAAGCGGAGTCCACATCTTCCTGCTGGCCTCTTTGAAACTCGATCAAGATTTATTGTTTCTATTTGATTCTTCAACAATCAAAGTCACGTTCACAGATTTACTTTACGGTCAATAATAATAAGGATAATTTGTGTATTTAGAAACAAATGCTGACAGTTTTTTGTGTGGAAAAAAATAGAACAGTTTAAATTCAGGTTTTTGCCTTTACCTGCTTAAAACTCACAGAACAATGTGCAGTATTATTTGGAAAATGTAAAAGATGTTTGGTTTAATAAAAACTTTAATCCAAACAAACAGAAAAAGAAATACAAGAAGGTGTTATTTTTTTGTATTAATTTTCTGGCTAGTATGAATAAATAAATTTAGAATAATTGTGTTTTCAAATGTACTATATATTCTCACCAAACTTACTACGAACCAGCTGCAACAATAATCCTTGATAGGTTTTATTTTGTTACCGCTATCTAGGGAAAAACATAGTACTTGAACGCATCACAAAGATTGCCTTCCAATGAGGTATATTTATTTATGTATTGAGAATTTATTGAGTATTCAGTTTATAAAATACTTCGTTGCTGCCTTCCTTTGGAAATGCCGAAGACGGTTTTCAAGGGACACACCTGATTGGAGGAACTTTTTTCAAGGGACACATTTGATTGGACGAATTTTTTCAAGGGCCACATCTGATTGGACGAACTTTTTTCAAGGGACACATCTGATTGGACGAGCTTTTTTCAAGGGACACATCTGATTGGACGAGCTTTTTTCAAGGGACACATCTGATTGGACGAGCACCGTTGTCTTCATTTGACAACTGCTTGTGTCCAAAACTGGAGGCCGTGTTTGTTTTGAGAGGGAGATCTAAATGTTTGTTTTCATTGTTATATGTATTGTAACTTTTTAAGTATCTTCTGTCATTGTTGCACATAACAAGCAACAGTGATTGAAGACCCATTTTCACACACTTTCAGGTCCCACAGTGCACATTTCCTTTCTAATTTTAAGAAACTGAATTTAAAAAAATGTAAATGTTTGACAATTTGTTCCTCCGTGTCTTTAGGCGGAGCGTAAGAAACATAACATGCGTCGATTGGTGCGTTTAAACCTTGACTCCACCCTTTTGTTGAGTTTGTTCGATTTTATTGCCGTCCTGCCAGGTTCTGCTTCCCGCCCGCACGTTTTACTGCGATTGCTAAGTGAGTTCCGCCCTTTACAGATGTCACAGTGTACAAATCAAACTGCTCAAACAGCTGCGTCTGGCTTCAGGATTGGCTCGTGAGGTTTGAACAATCAGTTTAAACAGTTTCAGCGGGTCTCTCAAAAGATTGCAGGGTTGTAGCTAGTAGAGAGCATTGAAATAGGAAAACAGGGATTCCAGCGTTAGTTTATTTGCGAGTATGCGATTGTTTTAATAGATGAAAATAGTGGCGCAACGGTAATTGTAATTCCCTTGAAGAAAATAAAACATCAAAGGTAAATATTTTCACGTTAGCTCATGCTGTTAGTGTTAAAAGTTAGCATAGCGTTAACAATTCAGGCATTGCCGGAAGCGGAAAATAAAAGCTATTTCAAAGCTGTAATTGGTTTAAAATCCATCATGTTATATGTTCAGTGACGTATCGGAACTCTGGCTGTTTGTATGTTACATTTGTTGAAATTATTTTCTATTTTTTTCGTTGTCGCTAAGTTCAGCTAGCACTTTTAGCCTGTGGTCGTTGACCTACGTAGTTTTGCTCAATTTTTAGCTTGAGAAATGCTGGTTCAAATATCTTTTGTTTTTAATAACAATAAATCACTGCCTAAGAGATTAATACTGATAGAAGTGACCACTAAAGATATGAGATTATTGTATTTTATATATTTAGTTATTTAACCAGGCGAGTCCCGTTGACATCGCAGATCAGGGAGGCCTGGGCCTGAAGGCAACCTATTGTACATGTAGACGTTGTCCGAGACAACTTATTTTCATTTCGGACAATCAGATCCTGTCAACCTGGCTGACTGAGAACAATTATATATAATAAACTTTGTATACAACACAATATACTTGTTAAATTACATTTTTCTTGAGATTCTTTTGGACAACTAAAAATGTTTTTCGGACAACCAGGTTTTGTCAACAGGTTGGACAACCTGAAAAATATCCTTATGTCTACCCCTGTTATTTAAGATAGTTTTATTTAAAAAAGCTATGTACTTGCACCATAAGTTTGAGATAGAAAATGGTCATTTTATAGTAAAATGTTTCCATGTTTTAAAAATGAACTGCGTGATTTGCTTTTGACACAAATACACATTACAACTTGTCCAATAAGCAAACATATTTTTTTACTCTGGCTTTCAAAGATCAAATGCCATGTTTTCTTCTAGAGAGAACAAATACTAGTACTTACATGGCAAATAACAAAATCCTCCTTTACTAATGGAGTTTGTTTATAAGCTTTCTTGATTATTTTTCTTTTCTTGTTTCTCAAGCTGCCATTATGACCTCCGTAACCTCAGCAGTGCGCTCCCTCACGGAGATGTTTTATAAGAAAACTCAGGAGTTCATCGGTGAGATTGTTAACACTCACATGGTTTGGCTCGAGGAGATCCAGCAAGAAGCAAATAGCAGGTTCACAAGGTATGTTTGACTTGATGTTACAAAACAAAGGTTTACGGGATGAAGCTTTGGTTTCTCTTTGAGTTTTTCTTTTCTTACCAAGTTGTTTTTTGTTTATTTATTTCAGAGATTTTAATACAGAACCAGAATTGATGCCAAAAACGCCATCACAGAGAAAAAGAGGTCGCCGGAAGCGTGTATCTTTAGGGCGCCAGGAAGAWAGTCAGGGAAAGAGGTATGTAGTTTCAGTAAATGTCCTTCAAAGCACATGGTCTTTACAATCTATTAAGTTTTTGTTTTTACTTTGTAGATTTTCAAAAGGAAGGCGCAGTAACCTTCGTGGCTCTGTGGTGAAACCGTTAAACTTTGTTGCTGAAGAAGTAGCCATTCCCGAGGCTTCCACGTCTGAAGCCAGCGCCGCGTCGAGGCCGAAACGAACAACACGCAAAAACAAACAGACAGAGCTCACGGTGGCAGCTGATGAGAGCCAGTCGTCCTGTGAGGGTAATGAAACCGARGAGGTGCAGAAGAAAGAGCAAATAGATGAAAAACTGAAGATTGCTGACATCAAACTGCAGGATACTTGCAGCCCCCCTCAGTCTCCCCCTAAGATCCCATCACCTGAGGTAACCGTCAAGATCTCTACAGAGGAACGCTTGTCTGCAGAGTACGCCATGGAGGCAGAGGCCTCTTCGAACCGTGTTGCTACAAAGATTGCGATAGCTGAACCTGCTAAAAGCTCAGGGCGCACCTCGGGACGATGCTCGCTCAAGCTGCGTCACTCTGTGGCTGGACTTCGGCACAGCATGACCCAGGAATCTGTGCGCCGTGCCTCACGTCGCTCAATGCTGAAGAGGAAGGCATCTCGCAAGAGCAAGTCTTCGTGCAACAGCAGTGTCACTGGTACGATATTAGGTGTTTGTTTTATTTGTTTGAACAAGTGTGAAAATTCATCCCTAATTGTATTTCTTTTTTCTTTTTTATGCTGTTTTTATGTGTAGCTGAGGATTCCTGCATGGATACTGTAAATGAGGATGAAGCACCGTGAGTAAAGCCACCTTGTTTTCATTTATTAGTGTATTGTTGCACGATACAAGAATAAGCAAAAGTTGATGGTCTATTTGATCTTCTACTCTGTTGACTCTTTGCATGTGATGTCACACTCTTCCTCACTTCTGACGCCCCATCACGACACGTTCACGCGATTAAGTGATGTAGTTGCAAAGTGCCAATACAAGTCCAAAGCACAAAAAAAAAGTATCATATATTTTAGCCTCAACTGCAGTGTGTTTCTTGAGGCAAGAACTTGCTCACGTTTTTGTTTTTAGTTTGGTAGAACCTGACTCTTAGTACTTTTTTTGTTTGCAGTGTGGATGTTTTAAAATGTTTGTTTTTTTGTCTAAAACTTTAACAACTATGTGATGTATTCCCTGCTGTAGCATACCTGGAGTTTCACCTGCAGACTTGGTGGGTAATGATGCACCAAAGATCCAAAATGAAACATCAGAGGTATCGCTTAGTTTGAATTCTTTAAAAAATAAAAACAATGTTTGAGCCTTTTGAGTTATTAATGTGTGTTTGTATCTTCAAATCAAAGGTAATTCAAACAAATAAATGCGAAGTTCCATTAAACGTGCGCATCACTCGCTCTGTGGCTGCTAACTCTCCCAAACTGGCTCCCCCTACATTATTTAGCACTGAGCTAAAAGTTAGCACTCCAGTCAAAAAAGCAGGTATGGAAAACTTTATTCTTTTTGTTCTGTATTTCTTTTACTTCGATGGTCATGTTGTAACATCTGATCTTTGCTTTTCTCTTCGGTTGTAGCTGAGAAACCGCCACCACAAGCAGATCGAAGGTGTGTGTCCTCTATTGTGATATTTTTATATTTGTCTTGTCACTCAGTCTATATTTCCGTGTTTTCAGGCCGAGTCGCAGCACTAAACGTAAAGCACCAGATACTGTAGAAAACAGTCCATCTAAGAGGTTTTCACCCCCCAAGAAAAGTCATAGTGTAAGATGCGGGCGGGGGGACTTGAGTTTATTGAAGTGGTTTTCTCATTAAACAAAATGTTTGAATTATTTACTTTGTTTTGGCAGGCAATCAAACCCAACATGAGATCTTTCCTGCACACTGTGCAGAAGAATCAGATGCTCATGATGACCCCAAACTCCTCCGGACGTGTTGGGGTGATGAAGTCTTTCATCAAACACACCACGCCTTTAAGAGTTGATCCTAAAGTAAGTCACACATTTAAAACAATAAAGGATCACTGTTCTTAGTCTACACTTTGATTAGGCCTTAGACCTTATTGGAAATGTAGTGTTTTCTAAAAACATAGGATATGTTAAAGATGCACAGATTGGATTGATGAAAACTTCAAGTTTTATGATTTTTGACAAACTTGGATGATTTGCACAGTAGACACTTAAATATGACTACAAAAAAAGGTGTCCAGCATATGACAAGCAAGAGTCTTTTTAAAGGGCTTGTTGAGCTGGACTTTATAAGTTGAGGAATGTCATTCCATGCTAAACTTAACAAAATTATTTCTGACCGTAACAGTTTTTAAAGGCTGGTAGTATCAGTTGTCCGCTTGTAACAGACCTATGTAAGTGACCATTTCCAAGATTTGGTTTGGGCATCAGAGCAAAAAAGAGTTCCATACTTGGCTCTATGAAAATATAACTTAATCCCACTATACAAAACATACCGGTAATTCTGAAAAGTGGAAGCATTTGACAAAGAGCTGTACAGTGATGAGTCCAACTAGGAAGTTTATGAATTTTGTAGGCCCTGTTGTAGAGCCTAGCTATGGGTTCTAAGATTTCATTAGTAGTAGTAAGAGACCAGACAGGTAAACGGCACAACATGGTTGAAAGTATAATGGCATGAGGATAACTTGCTGGTACAAAGCTCTTCCCTGAGCTCCTGCCCAACAAAGCCCCCCCACCAAAGCATTGTTGTGAAGACGTGCTGAAGTGGGAGTGTCAGGAATGGTAGGAGGTTCTTAAAGACTGATGCAAAGTCCAACTTATTTTTGATATGTACAGCTTTTTCATAAAAACTAGAGTTGGGCAAAATCATTGTTTGCAATTAATTGTCAGAAAGACTTTACCGGTAATCTATTTATTTTTTGACACTTGACGATTAAAACGATTAATGCCACCTGGCAGACTGACTTGGGATTTCCCTGGTCAATTCCCTCAATGCTCCTCTATGCTTCAAATATGACAAACGTTTTTTTAAAACGTTCTGTAATTTATTTATCATAACTCCTCCGGTTTTACTTGGTCTATCAACAAAATTTTATGTATATCTTGATGTCTGTACTTTTGACACAGTTTGGAACAGATTTTTACAAAGAGCAAATCTTTCCTATAGATGTCCTGATGCATCTCCGTAATCCAGGTAGAAAAAATTCAAAAAATGGGAGAGGACCTACTTATTTTTCTTTTTGAACTTTCCCACTAGAGTGATTTAAATTGGTCATGCAGGGCTCTAGAGTGCGACCAGATTTCCTAATAGTACAACACAAAAAAACGTCTGGTCGCCCAATCGTTCGAGGGGGAACGGTTGCCCCCTGAGAAAAATGTTTCCATGTTCCATAAAAAAATAATCCAGCAGTATGAATGGTCGCCCGCCGACAGTCTCATCTCTCCACACTGCGCTCTGCTTTCGGGCTCTGCTCCACACCTCCCGCGCACACACACACGTTTGTTGTTCTATCCTCATGGGGACATTGGCTTCCATTCATTTCCCGTCAATTCTGCAGCCAACTATAACCTCCCAGGTAGGCTATACACCTGACCCAAACCCTAACCTCACCTGGCTGTGTGTACCGGGGAAATGGTCAATAATTGTACCCACCATGAAGCAAAAATCTATACACATGTGTGTGCGCACGCATAGTGAAACAACCGTAGGGTTTTTTTTTTGTTTKTTTTTTTAAACCCAGATCGGTGTCTGAAAACCAGTTCTTGTTAACTGCAGATGAAAACAAGATGTGAACGGTTGCTCGCTCTTAAGTCCATCTTGTTAATTTAACAGTCGGGGTCTGAGCACTGCAGATCATTTCAGCAGCATGAGGAAGCTCACCTGTATGGCAGGCTGCTTTTGCACTTAATCGACTTCACCACAGTTGCATTCCAAGGATGTGAAATGGGTTCTTCTGGGTCTCAGGAGGATAAAACTAGACATACTGGATATTTAAGTCAAATAATATAAGATAATAAGATTCAACTAATGATGAAATTGCAGACTTTTATGCATTATTTTAAAAAAATTGASACAACCTTTTAATAAATATCAGTAATATTTCTATTATTAATCAATATTCTCTGTTCATCATTCTGGTTTATCCAAGGCCAAAGATCCATAGGGCCAAACTAGAGGAGTTGTCCATCTGAGGGGCATGTGTCTAAAAAAAATTAACCATGAAATGTTTAAGATGTTTATAAAATGTTCAGCCCTTAAACATTTGCACTTAGAATCTTATAGAATCACTTTAAATACTTTTCAGTAAGTTATAGGTCTTGTACAATTCTGATTCAAATAAAGAACTTTATGTTTACTTGATTGTTAACTAATTGTTTTTGAGTTAATGTTGCCTTAATGAACAATGATTTAAAAAAACAAGTGAAACTGATGTTAAATGCGACATGGTTGAAAATTTGGATGCACCTAACTTTTGTGCTGGTGCRCCTAAGAAAAAAAATGTTAGGCACACCAGTGCAAAAAGTTAGTCTAGAGCCCTGTCATGTGACCAGGATATGCAGGCGTCCAGGGACTCCAGGGGATTAAATCGTCATATCTTCAATTGTTATCGGCTAAAAACCACAATTAATCGTGATTATAATTTTTTTGTCTATCACCCAACCCCAGTAACAACTGAAGGTAAATTATGTGCCTGGAAAATACATTACCCCCTCTTCAAATTAGAAGAAACACTTTCTACAGATATATATTCTTTTACAAAGAGTTAAAATTTAAGTTTACAATTCAGACTGAAATTATGGTGGAAGTGTAACTTGCCAACTATGTAGTTCTTAAAGTCAAATCAGCTCAAATTAGATGAAGTAGATCAGGGCTGTGACTCTGAACTAACAGAAAAGTGCATTCAATGATTCTCTAGTAGTTCTCTTATTTAGTGAGTCTATTTTTCTTCTCCTCCTGTCTTCAGGTCAACATTGGCACAGTGGTGAGTGTCATGTTGAAGCTCTGTCTGAAGGGTTTTGGTGTCTCTCTATGTCACACTTTGACTGGATTACGTTTCACTTGGTACAAAAGAAGCCCCTTTCCCACAGCTGCATGTCAGGAGGATGAGAAACAGTTGTGAAATTGTCATTCAGTAAAAGTTAAAGAGTCAACACAAGGAATTCATAAGTTAAAACACTTAATTCAGTACAAAGTAAAACCATGACTAAAGGTCCATGTGTGGAAGGGGCTGCTTTAAGCTCATTTGATCCACAACCCAAACATAAATTGTTCATCTTTTACTTTACTCATGTCTCTGTCTGATTCAGCATCATTTTATCACCTAAATTTTAGCCTGGTTAAAAACTGGTGACATTCATTCACTCTGGGTGTAATTGTTTTTATTTATTTCATTCACTTATGTTTGAAGTCCCTTTGTGGTAAAATTACAATTTTTTTTTAAGTTGTTGAACTGATTATGAATTAATTTGTTCTTTATAGCTATATTTGCTTGAACAATGTATTATTTAAATAGTTTATTTAACCTGAAAAGAAACCTTTTTGAGGTTTCATTGTCCTGACCAAAAAGACTGTTTCAGACAAGAATATTATTTTATTTCTTTTAGTGAAATAAATTGTATAAGGCTGGGAAAAGACAGAATGGTTCCAAAGCTGTTAATAATTGCTGGAGATGGACTTCTTTTAGCCACTCTTGATATTTGGACACTAATATGCTGGAGCACTGTGTGTTGAACTAATTTTAATAGTAATACTAATTCTAATAGGTGTAGTAGAACAGTAGATTAGGTTTTACTGTGTATTTGCTTTAAATTGTTCATTTCTTGTTTATTCTGATGGACCCAACAATAACGAGGAAAGGTTAATTTATCGTCCTGTAGCTAATTTTATGATTTTTAGTATCTTTCTTAAATTGGCTGTTTTATGTTGATTATGTCATTTTAATTTTTCTCTCATTCTTGCACGTTCCTTTAGAATATTCTAACCATCACATTAAACCCTGTTTAGTTTTTCTGAATGGAAACTGTTTCCTTTTACTCTCCACTCTTCATTCACTGGTGTTGTTTTCTCAGACAAAAGAGCGTCACAAGCTGGAAGCACTCAGGAAGAAGCAGGAGCAAGAGGAGGTGAGGTGTAGGGAAGGAGGAGCAGGAGGAGGTGAGGTGTGGGGAAGCAGGAGCAAGAGGAGGTGAGGTGTAGGGAAGGAGGAGCAGGAGGAGGTGAGGTGTGGGGAAGCAGGAGCAAGAGGAGGAGAGGATGAGGAAGATGGAGGAAGAGAAGAGACGCAAACAAGAAGAACTTAAAAGGTTAACCCTGTGCACCTTTTTTGAGAGTTGATGAATATTTGTACGTATGTTTTTATTCACTTTGAAAATTTGTATTCCAGGAAGAGAGATGAGAGGATAAGAAGAGTGCTTGAGGCCAAAGTTAAAGAAGAGCAGAGGGAGGAAGAAAAGAAAAAGAAAATTGAACAAAAAATGGCTCACATTGATGAGAAAAATGAAAAGGTATTCATTTTGTTGTAGCATAAAAATTCAGTTTACTTTTTTGTTCTTTTTATTTGATTTTTGTTCTCCCCCCCCCCGTACACACAGCGTCTCATTGAAGAGAAGAAGAAGTTGGCCTTGAAGCGACAGGAGGAGCTGGAGCAGAAGAGGAAGATGGAAGAGGAGGCCAAGAGGAAGAAGATTCAACAAGCTGTAAGACCTCTTTATTTCACGTGCTGCTGTGTTCTGTGATACAAGATGAGTTTGTAAGTAATGTTTGTTTTAAACCTTCAGGAGGAAGAAAAGCGGCAGCAGGAGCTGGCTGCTAAGAAGGCAGAGGAGGAGGAACAAGCTCGCAGAGAGCTGAAGATGGAGCAGGAGCGTGAAAGGGAGCTGGAGAGAGAACGACAAGCTGCTGCTGAAAGGTTCGTTTGATAGGCTGATCATCCTGTCATGAGCTGTTCCAGACATGTGGCTTCATTTGTCTTGTTAGTGGGGCTTCACTAAAAACTCTCTTACTTCACTTGGTTTAAATTCTGACAAAAGCTGTTTTCTGTTAAATTAGTGATACACTTTTTTATATAATACAGGGAGAGACTGGAAAAACAGAAAGCTCTTGCTTTGCAGCGTGAAGTGGAAAAGGCAGCGAGAGAGAAAGAAATGAGGGACTTGGAGGAAAAACGAAAGGCTCTCGAGGAAAGAAGAAAAATGGTAAGAGAATGATATTTAAGAAGTGAGTTGTGTTTTTACTTCAAAAGTAAAGTAGTTTTTATTGAAGTTATAGAAGGACTTATTTGTTTTGTTGGGAGCATATCAACTTTAKACTTCTTGAATGAATCATGTCAGGAAAAATTGACACCTGATGAGATGAACGAACCGACTCCAGCATGAGGCTCTTTCTCATCTGCAAAATGTTGACTCAATCACGTTGACAGGTGCTATCAGAGAAGAGTTGTTTCTGTGTGTGTGTCTCTAGCACATTTCCCTAAAATAAGATGACTCAGCAGCTCTGAGTTTGCTCCTACCACTCTTCAACTCTTTGGGCGTTCATGTTATTTTGAGGGGAAAAACAAGTTTTTTGTTTGTTTTTTACCAGGAGGAGCAGCAGCGGCTGGCTGCAAAAGAGCAGGCTCTTAAAGAAAAAACAGCAAAGCAGAAAGAAGCTGATGCTAAACAGGTATGTTACCTGAGAGAAATAATACTTAATCTGAAGTGCACCCGCATGGTTGAACTTTTAAGCTGTCTTACAGATAATAAAAAACAAAACAAAACCTATTTTYTCTCTCTATCATGGATAAAAATAAACAATTTATTTGAAGATATCTTTTATGGAACTCAAGGACACTGTACAATAAAATACATTAGCAAATGTAGTAAAAGAACAGTAAAAATAAGAGATGAAACGTTTCACTAAAGAAGAACCCATCCAGAGGACCTACTTATTTTTTCTTTTTGATATACAGTATAACATGTAATTTTCCTAAAACTTTTCTCTAGCTTATTCAGAACTTATACAAGAATATAAAAGTATTTATGACTTACGCACATTTTCAGTGTGGCTTATATACCGTACATCATGTTGGAGTAATTTTCAGCACCTGGGACCAAGTTTACATAAGTTGTCCAAAACGTTAGTGTGGCAGGTCTTTAAATATAACTTAAAACATTCAACTGGTTTCAATCTCAAAACTACACTTGGAAAAAATCTAATTAAGCTTTCATCACAGTTCAGTAAGTTAGTTATTCAACTTCAAATAGTTTTTGGATATTTCTTCTGGAAACCACTAGAGGGATCCTGAGTACCATCAGTGGTACTTGAACCACAATTTGAGAACTAGGAAGTGTACAGGATTCCCTCACATTTTGTTTTTAAACACAGTGAAAACGTCCTATATTTAGTTGATATTTAGTTCATGAATAAAATTAGACTCTTGCTGTTACACCAGTTTTTATTTTCTTGTTGTTAGCATCTCTACAAAATATGAACAWGCAATTATCCTGATGAAGTAGTACTGGTATTATTTCAGTGAAAATGTGCTCCTTTTTAAAAAAAAAATAATAATAATCAAAGTAATGACATAACTTAATGTGTGTTGCAGTGCATTTTTAGATATCAGGGTTTTTAAACTAAACAAACTTTTCTCTTTTCTCTTTTTATTCTCAATTTGAATAAAGACTTCAAACCTGAACGCAACTTTTAATTTGGAGGTAAGGGTGAATCTCAGCTGTGCACACTCACTTGTCACCATCATGTTAACACACTGCTCTGCCCTTTAACAATGGTTATACTTTTTTATATTTACCGTGCTTTACATATGAGTTTCTGTTCATGCATAAGTCTTGTTTGCTTAGAGGCCATTTTTCTTGTGTAAAGTCTTCATTTCCTGTTTGTTTCCCCTCCAGAACTCTGTAATGAGCACACCAGTRGGAAAAGCTGGAGGCCTGAATGTTACCGTAGATTTGAACGTATGTATAACACATAAGGTTTTATTGAAAAATACAACAGGAACTTTCTGCCATGGTGAAACTTTAATTGAATTATGTTGTCTCCCACCATGCAGCCAGCCTCGCCACAGTCATACGCCATCACTCCAACTGGTGGCAATAAAACTGCCAAGGGTTTAGACGACTATGGAATGGACCAAAACAGTGACGACTCCACAGATGATGAGTCGGCCCCGAGGAAACCCATCCCATCCTGGGCAGAAGGTATGAATGGCTATCTGGGTTTTGGGTGACCAGTTATTGTAAAGCACATGGTGTCTGAACTTACATCAAGTCGAACAGATTCTCACAAGATCAGAGTCGTACCACTTTTCTTTTATGTATTTTTTCTCATCACCTCCCTTTTTAAACTCATCAATCGATCATTGTGATGGTTTTCTGCCTCAGTGTGAATGTTGAATAAATCTCCCATGTGTCATGTACTAACAGACCTGCCTGATGTTTTTACTCTTCAGGTCCCAATCTGAAGCAGATCATTATGAAGCAGTACTACAATCCTCCAGATTTTGACTCCTTCTTTGGGGTCATTGAGCCACCAAAACTGGAGGACATATTTTATAAAAGCAAACCTCGGTATTTCAAGCGAACCAGCTCCGCGGTGTGGCACTCACCCCCGTCTGGAGCAAAGTGATATTTTCACATAGATGCTGGCTGATCCTGTTTTACACACCGCTGTATAAATTTTATTGTTTGTCTGTTTCAAATAAAGTGTTTTTTTTTTCCCCTTCCCATTTTTACAAGAGGTTTAGTCTCACTTTTGTTAGTAGTCAAAAAGACAGTATGCACAACACTGGAAGTGTGGGCAGTTGTAATTTGTGTTTGTATTTTGTGCTTTTATAGTCATATCTGTTCTAATAAATGTTTTAATTGGCAATTTATTAGTAATTAATTTGATTTTGATAATGAAAGAAATGCTAGTTCCTATGTTTATAAAAAAAGGCTGAGCTAAAGTGTCACGACAAAGTGAGTGAAAAATTAAAACTGCATCAAGCTAATGGGTYATATTTATAGGGTTAACTACCGGTAATCTTGTAGGCTTAATATGTTTTGAGAGAAATCTACAATCTGGGACTATTATTGTGAAGGGTTGAACTTTGTAAGATACTCTTATTGTGGAGGATGCGTGCCTGCTGCTGTGTTGGCACTGTGATGGGAGTAATAAAGTCTACAGGCCTGACTGTTTAGTTTGTACTTTTCAGTGCTTTTATCTTTGTTTTTTAAACATGCAACACAAAATGACTTTAGATTTGATTTTATTCTGAAAAAGCAGGCTCCTGCCTCAGTGATAATATATTAGTAATATTTTGGATAAAAGCCTCCTCAATGCTGTGTGCAGTTTAGTTCCTTTATATTGGTAATGGTTTTGATGTCAAAGAATTCTAGTTTATGCTTTAAAGTTTCATTACAAAACTTAATCAGGTCAAGGTCAAATACGTATTATAAAAATACTTTCAAATCATTGCTTTCAAGGATAATTTCAATATATTTCCAAGGTGAAATTTGTATTTTTTGCAAATGAGGATTTAAATCTTGGACAAAAATCAGAGCTGGAGTATAAAGAAAAGACTCAGCGTCATTTCAGAGTCCAAGAAGCACCTTTGGTCAACCAGTGGAAGCTCCCCCACACCTCAAGGATAAGGACACTTGAACAACAAAATGTTCATGTTCTGTAGGTCTCAGATTTCAGCTTTCTACAACCTAATGCAGCAATAAGCCTGAATGTCCAGATACTTTATAACACCTTCATGCATGTGACCAAAACATGAATCTTGTGAATCAAACAAAAAACTCAATAGCTTTTTATCGTCTGGTCTAAACTTGTAAATATAAAAGTTTCTGATAAGAGTTACAAAATTACTCTTTCAAGTTGAAATTGTGGCAAGTTTTGTGTGGCCTATATTTAGTCCTTCAATGTTGGTTATGATGCATTCACTGCGCATCGGAAGAATTAAAACGTCAAAATAATGTGACCTTACAAACAATTTTTGGGCTCATGGCGAAGTATAAAAAACTGATCGATTTTCAGTATCATTAGTTTAATACTGGATTTTAATGTATTTTGTATTTTTTAGTACTGGATAAAGCACTGTTTGAAAAGGAAAATTTCCGAGCTGTGATGCTGAGAATGCACCATTTATGTCAAGTCGACCGTCTGACGTAATCATACGGTGCGCGCGGTTACGGGCAGGTTTGGGGTCAGGGACGTGTAACTAACATTTTAGAGTAAACACTCAGTAATTAGGTGCTGAAGAGAGTAGACGTGCATCGAAGTAGGTACGTTTGTCTTCACCTAGCTGCTTAGCTTTAATGCTAGCTTGCTAACTTATTGTTTCTGAAACTTACAGTGAACTGTTTGCAAAAACGTGGCTCTTTGTGTCAGTGCTATTTAGCATTGTTTATTTTCATTTATGTTGATTAGTAGACAGCTAGCTTGTAAATAAAGAAGTGGATTTTGGTGGTATGTTGTTTATTTCGGCGTAGGCCGTTTCTTGATCGATATGATGCATTCAGTTTAGAAAATCTGCTCCAMAAACAGCCTAGGGGAAAAAATACGATAAAATAAATATTATTCAGAGAAGTTATTCGGTAAAATGGCCTATTGAACTTTCACCCACTTTGCTGCATCATGGTGGAAATCTCAAGGACACGACTTAAAACATCCATGCATGGTTGTGGATTAAATGATCAGTTGCAGCCATGTTT